GTAGACGTGACGTGGGGAGTCTAGATGTTAAGATCTTCAGCCTTGCAATCAAATCCCCTAGTAGTGGTGGGCTCTATATTGCCTGTGATTTACCTATACAAAAAAATGGTGGTAAATTCGCCTGCAATTCACTTTTATTGGGCATTCTGAGTAATTGAAGAACCCTACAGTCTTCCCTTCCTTGAAGGCTTGAACCCTTTTTTTTGGCCAACTTTAAACCCTTATTGTTGAGCATTATTCGTTTCGAATTAAACAAGTATTTTGTTCCTACGTGTGAAACCCACTTCTTGCAGTTGCAGGTGAGAATTTGAGATGGAGAGAAAGGGGAAATCCGAGATGCTTAATTGAGTTTGGCAAGACAGATTAAATAAATAGATGCTCACCAGTCACCACCCACTAAAATTTAGGATGAAGTTATGCTAAGAAATTATTTTAATTGGTACTTATGTGAATTTATACAATTACCATAAATACCAATAACCTGTTGGTTCAAATGGAAGGAACTCGGTTGTCCTTAAGTAAGATCTCGAGTTCGAGTCTTGTGAATGGAAAAACAGGTGCTGGGAGAGCTTCCCCATATAGGATCCGACTCGACTTAATTTCAGATTAGTCAGGGTCCAATGTGATTTCTGGATACCGGAAGATTAGTACAAAAAAAAAAACAAAATACAATTACCATAAATTACAATAAAATCATCTTAAAAATTAGTCTTTACTACCATTATTCGAATCCTAATCATCCTAGACAATATCCTTAATTCATGCTTTAAGGAGATGATAGAAAATTCCGTACTTAAATTAACACTTCATAAACAAAAATGCTAAAACTGACTTCCTGCCTCTTCTAACTCACCACTTATTATTGTACAACCTCGTCTGCCAGTTCAATAAAATAAATTAACAACGATATAATAAAATCTTTTAGTTTATAATTAATCATACTATGTCATTAAATAAATAAATACAAACAATATTAATAATAAACCCCTAAATACAAAAAATTAATCATACATAATTGATTTATATTTTATAATTTTACATAACATTGCAAATGTAGCATTGATTTATATTTTATAAGTTTTCAACCTGCCTTCACCCTCAACCAGATCTCTCCTTTTTCTGTCTGTACTCTCTATCTCAATCGCCTGTAAAGATGGGCTCTTCACCGGCCAATGGATCTGGAAGATGGCGCCCTTAAAACGGAAAAACCGAAGATGGATACGGGATGAGGAGGTAGTGGAGAAGAGAGGGAATCCAGATGCTATTTGCCTCTGGAATTTGTTAAGTTTTATATGTGTGTCGATGTAGACGTGACGTGGGGAGTCTAGATGTTAAGATCTTCAGCCTTGCAATCAAATCCCCTAGTAGTGGTGGGCTCTATATTGCCTGTGATTTACCT